GAGAGAGAGAGAGAGAGAGAGAGAGAGAGAGAGAGAGAGAGAGAGAGAGAGAGAGGATCCTCTCAGCTTGAGCCACACAGAGGAAGAAGGTCCCCACAAACTGGTCCTTACTTCCTTGCCCCGTGAGTCCCGCCTGTGACTGGCCATTAGCACTGAGATGGATTGGTTAAGAGGCCTCAGGTGGGCAGTGGTTGCCAAGCAGAGTACCCCTTCCCTCACAGTCACCCATGTCTCTGCCCACTCAGGAGCTCGGTTCCCAGGTGTGGGGGTGCTCCCCGGAGTTCCCACTGGCACAGGAGTCAAGGCCAAGGCTCCAGGTATGTATCGGCACCTGTGCTGGGGGCCAGGGTAGGACCTTCTGTCAGCCTGTGCAGCACACTGGCCTGGGTGTAAGGGAAACCTTGGGATTCTAGGCTTATTGGGGGACTCCTGTGGGGACAGGGAGGTCCTTCTTATGTCCCAGCCAGCCCTGCTTCTGTGGCAAGGAAGGGCAGAATGCCACTCAGAAAGCCCACAGAGTAACCGTGGCCTATAATCCCAAGCAACTCAAGAGTCTGAGGTTTGAAAGTTCAAGGCCAGCCTCCACAACTTAGTGGGCCACTGTTGCTAATTAAAAGTAAAAAGAGGGCCGAGGGGTATGGCTCAGTAGTAGAGTACCTGCTTAGAAATACCTAGTGAGCCAGGCAATGGTAGTATATGCCTTTAATCCCAGCACCTGGGAGGCAGATGCAGGTGGATCACCAAGTTCCAGGGCAACCTGTGCTACTCAGAAAAACACTGTCTCAAAAATAAATAAATAAATAAATAAATAAATAAATAAATAAATAAATAAATAAAATGAGAACAAAGAACTAATGAATGAATGGGGGCAGGATGAGCCTTAGTGGTAGAGCACCTGCCTAGAATCCCCAGTGAGGGGCTGGGGTGGCTCAGTGGTAGAGCACCTGCCTAGAATCCCCCAGTAAGGGGCTGAGGGTGTGGCTCAATGGTAGAGCACCTGCCTAGAATCCCCCAGTGAGGGGCTGGAGTGTGGCTCAGTGGTAGAGCTCCTGCCTAGAATCCCCCAGTGAGGGGCTGGGGTGTGGTTCAGTGTTAGAGCACTTACCTAGAATCCCCAGTGAGGGGCTGGGGTGTGGCTCAGTGGTAGA